ACATAATGATGCACAAATAAGATTGATACTTACCTTTGTCATGATTTAGAAATTGATGTAAAGAGTCTTCCCTTCTTTTTGACAATGACAAAAGTGGAGATAGCTAGCTTGCTAGCTTGCACAAGACAAGAGAAGCAAAAATTACAAATGTACATATCGCAAAAAGGGGCAAAACTTATTAGTTTGCTCAACTCAAAAGCAAGAAATGCTATCTTGTAATCTCAAGCAAAAGTGCTATCTTGCAAATCTCAAAGAAGTAATATGTGCCAAATTACATATTTTGAAAATAGGCAAAATAGTTTATCTTGCACATCTTTTTGCTAACTTTTTGTGTAAAAGTTGATAACTTACATACTATAAATTTGCATACCAAATGTGCAATCTTGCCTATCTCAAGAAGCAAAACATGCTAACTTGCACATCTAGCAAACTTGCCTATTTCAAGAAGTAAGGGATGCTTTCTTGAACATCTCAAAACTGCTAGTTTGCATGTTCTAAAAGTGTTATAAAATTTGCTAGCTTGTATGTTGTAGTAATTGCTACCATACTACCTTGCATATCGATGATAATAGCAAAATTGCATGATGATAAAACTAGGAGATTATATTAATTATGCAATGTGTTGAACTTGGATATTTCAAAAACTTGCAACTTGCACATTTCAATAGGAAGCAAGAATCATGAGCTTACACAAGAAAGCTATCTTGTATTTGCTTTCGAAATTTTTGCTAGTTTGCATGTAGCAAAACTTGCATATCATAAAAATTGCTAACTTGTAGTCTAAAGAGAAGCAAACACAAACATGCTAAACTTGCACATCTTTAATTGCTAGATTGCATGATGATAAATTTTGATACTATGTTTTTCATGCAATAAGTTGAATTCATATCTCTCAAACACATAGAAAGTGACACTTCTCCTTTTTGTTGATGACAAAGGGGGAGAAGTATGATCATGTTATGCATGATGAATATTTGCAATGACTTGAATTCGGTTTGAATTCAAGGTTCTATCAATATGGTACATTGATAGGGGGAGTTTGTTTAAACTCCGGGAGTTAAGGTTAACTCCGTCGTCGATTGGTTGTCATCATAAAAAAGGGGGAGATTGTTGAATCTCGGATTTTAATGATGAAACCAATCAATATGTGTTTATGTTTTAATCTGCATGACGTAGGATGCTTCGATCAGGATGAGACAATTATAGCAGGAAAATCATGTTGTGCCGGAGGAACATGTCAGAAGATTGGACGTCGGGTCGGTGGATCAGTCGACATATCGATAGAAGGCTTCGGGCCATGGATTCGGGCATCGGGCCAAGAAGAGCGAGTATTGCGCCAAGGATATCGGAGTTGCGGAGTCAACTGGCCGATTGGGCAATAGGCCACAAGAGAGAGTGATACACCGAAGAATTGGACGAAGCGTCAAGGGACCAATGACATGCCGGACAACTTGATTAATTGCTTAGGAGTAATGTCTAGATCGAACTTTTGTTTTACATATGCAGGATTAACTACGATAGCTTGAAGATATAAAGCAAGTCTATCGGAGTCAAGTTCGATGGGTGTTCGAGAGTCCGAAGATTCGTCGGAGATACTGCCGGAACCAACCGAGAAGAAATCGGGGACTTGTTAGAGTTTTCGAAAGTCCGCCAAAGAGATCATTAGAGGTTTGCGGAGATCACTGAGAAGGCTCGGTTACTCGCTGAACTCGCCACAAGATCGGGAGCCTATTGGGAGTCTACCGGAAGAAATCCGAGGGTGTATCGGAAGTCCGCCGAAAGATCACCGGAAAGCTCGCCGGAAGGAGACTCGACGTTTGCCGGTTGAAAACTTGCTTAGGACTATGTTTTTAATTATGTAGTTTGCATGTAATTAGGGTTAGGATTAAGCGATAATCCTATATCCTGGTTAGGGGCCAACTGGGCCCGATATTACCTAGTTTGGGCCAGATTTGAAGTCCATCTAGTGACCCGTAGGACCAGGCAGTGGAACCGTCGGACTGGGCGGTGACACTGCCCAAAACCCGAGGATCGGGCAGTGGTACCGCCGAACTGGGCAGTGGCACCGCCCAGCACCCGAGAGGTCCGACGGTGGTACCGCCAGATTGGGCGGTGGCATCGCTAGTACACTGCCAGTGTCAGACACTAACAGGTGGTGGCACCGCTAGTACACTATCAGTGTCAGACACTGACAGGCGGTGGCACCGCCAACATTGGGAACCCAAGAGAATTCAAAATTTGGAGCCTAAATTTGAATCATCTTGGGGCCTATAAATACCCCTCAATTCTCAACAGAGAATACAACCTTTTGAGAAGCAATAGATTAAGATAAAAGCTTTAGCAAAGCCTTTAGCAAGTCTTGTTTTCAATTGCTTGAATGTTCACCTCCTTCTTTCTCATTGAAAATTTGTAAGAGTGTGAACCACTGTAAAAGGTTGTAAGAGGAGTATTTGTCCTTTCCCTTTAAAGTGATTTGCTAGTGGAAGTTGGGAGCCTCTTCGAAGAAGGCTTCGCAAGTGGATGTTGATCATTTTGACCGAACCATTTTAATTTGGTGTGTTCCTTGAATGTGTGAGTTCTTACTTTCCTGAAATTGTTATTTCATACCATGTCACACGTACCATCACTCATATAATTGGCTTACAGGGCACCTATGACTAGCAGCATCTATTGATCGTAAAAAAAGAGACACGGATGTGAGGCGACAGATAATAGAGCCATGAGCATAGTTGTGCTATGGTATTGTAAAGGCGAGACTTCCATAGAGTCATCAATCCTTTGCTCTTATGGAGGGAGAGTACTTGGTCATAAAATGGATTAAGGAGGTGAAGAATACAGAGACAAGCTTTAAGTATTTAAACAAGGCTAAAGGACAAAGGCTAGAGAACTTCGTAAGACCATTGTCAACGAGCTTCTTATCAAAATAGCTAAAAGTGGAGGACTTCGGGTCGATGCAATAGTGCTTGACCAAGAAATGAAGTAGGTGGAAGAGATAATAGAGAAGATGATACAATTCCAAAGGCGATCAAAACTATTAGACACTTGCTCCAAGTTAGGATGAAATTTTGCTAGTTTTGAGTAACACTTATTACATTCCAGAAGTTTGATGATAATAAGAATGTGAATCGTAGTAGCTAACTCAATGCAAGGAGTGTAAACACTTATAGTGACTTAGAAGTATGAGCAAAGAGCAGGTGAAGGTTACTAACTAGTTCGATGCACGAAGCATAACCCTCGAAGAGGTAGACAAAGTTGAGTAACCTTTGCCTTTTAACTCTTAAGAGAATGAGTGAAACTAAGTACCTCGATTCTCTTATTTATCTAATAGAGGAGCTCTATATAGGTTATCAAATACCCTTTGAAGAAATTTAGTAGAAAACAATGGTTGTCAAATCCTTACCAATGGTGATTGGTACTATTGAGAGTAGACTATTTGCTTCATTTCCCAATAGAATGTCAATCGAAAGCCTAAGTAATTCAAACTTACTTGGAGGTGATAACTAAGCAGAAGAGGAATTGATGGATAAATTTTACGGAGGAAAGAACCTAAATACTTAAAAGCCTACGAGATAATGCTTATTAAAGCTCTAATAAGCATCCACCCAATTCAAGCAACATGAGACGTTTAATAGAATGATACATAATAAGAAATATCATTTCCTTCATTTAAAGGATTTGCAAGAATCAACAAAGATTAACATAACTCAGTCGACCCCACACTAGAGTTAGAGTCATTTGCGAGTTGAACCAGCGTGGTGGATCAAAGTTTGACTGCTCAACAATAGCAACAAAGTGCAGTTGGGAGCCAAGAGGCACATTCCAATTTGAGTAAAAGATTGAAGATTCAATTAGGAGATGTAGCTTTCATAAAGGCTTTCACGAGGATATCAAAGGAATAAGTGAGAGAGAATGTCATAGATAAAGCTATAGACAAGGTGTTCGATATAATGCTCGTGTACCTCCATGTTTTTTTATTTTGTTCATGCTTTGTATAGTATGTAGAGGGCTTATAATAAGTTTGACAGCCCTATTTTAATTGGCTTTTATAGTCGTTTTAGACTTGTAAACACATGTTGTGTGCAATTATTGTGTAGAGGCAAAACTATCCAAAAATAAATTATTCAAGTAACCATTTTCAAGGTTTTCTAGGTCGACAGAGTGGCGTAGAGTGTCAACTAGTATAGCATCTAAGAGCTACCCGCGTGGCATATGGCTAGATGAGCCTTTGGGGGTAGTGTCTAGGGTCAGTTTACTATCTTATTCCGTAGTAGTGTCATGTGGGCACTTATTATAATTTTTTGTCACGATGGATTATCTTAGACCCTTTATCGCATGATCGTTTAGAGCTTACAATGTCTATATTTATAATTTGCATTACTTATCAAGTATTTACTGAAATAACTTCTTGTGGATTCTGAGTTAAATGTTTTTTCTAACCCATTTTTCTTTTGTAGATCCTTAAGATACCATAAAAAGTTTCGGGGAGGTTAACCTTTTGCGAACGAATATGCAAAGGTGATGCATGACAGGAGCAAAATTAGCTAAATCTGTAATAGATCGATAATGAAACATCTTCTCGAGGTAGCTCCGATATGAGCAACTGAGGGGGCTTTGCACAAGCGCGTATGGTGTCTTCTTGGATCTCCATACATATTCTCCAAAAGAAGACCCTATAATAGCAACAGTCTTCGTCCATGTTTTAGGAGGGGAGTAAATGAGCCAGGGAGAAGCAACCCCCCGTTTCATCAAAATACTATGATGATGAGTTCTAAGATATAGCACAAACACGAAAGAGTAAGATCAGAAAGAAAGAAATGAATCAAAATGTAGTTCAAAGTTTTCAAGCCTGATATGTCTTGAAGAAATGTCCACACATGATGCAATGCATCTGTTCTTTGATGGCAATAGAACATACACACTTTTTTGTCTGAGTCATCCTCATAAACAGCTCTGTACAAAAATAAGTACAACCAAACAGCAGATGAAATTTGATTAAGCATGTAATTCTGTTTCGTTCAAACAAGAAATCTCCACATTTGATGATGCAATGCATAAGTCCTGTTTGGCAATAGAACAAACATCTTATTTTGAGCCATCCTTGTAAATTACACAGCTTTCCATAAACTTGATAAGTACATCCAAACAGTAGATAAAATTAGATTTAAGCACTGACTGCACGTAATTCTGTATCATTCTGACTGGAAAAAAACAGTAGTGAAAAACGAAAACCAACAATGGACCCTCATCACAGTATAAACAGCTCTCTCAATCTGTGGTTGTACATTTAAATAAGGGATTAATTTTTATATATGTTGATATCCAGCATCCATATTGAATAATAGAGACGATACGGAACAGAGTTTATCAAGTAAATGAACCTGAGATTAGATCGGCTCGTCCTTTGAAAACCCAAAGCCATTTAGCCAGAGAATCCTTCTATGTAGAAGAATCCCTTCATATTCATCATCTTGATACTACTACTCCAAGCAATTTACCAACCTTAGCTGTGCTGAACTTCTGAAACCAAACCTCTACATAGTTAATCAAACAAACCATACCTCGCTTGCCAGCTAGGCCTGATCTCCTTTTCATGTAATAAAGATAGCTGGATAGGAGATAACAACAAACAGCTTCATGCTAGATTTTCTTACGAGGACTTCTGTTTTGTTGAGATATACATCCTATACCAGAGGCTACTTGTGCTGTAACTTTTATGGAAACACCTATGAGTATCAATACACAAGGGTTAGATGATCAATCCGGAAACTCTCAGTCCCTTAGAGATCTGCAAGATTTAAGTATCACAGAAGTGTTAAAATTCACTTCTCATGAGTAATTCTACTAATGGATTATGAAATACAAATGATTATGGGAATTCAAAAGCGACCATGACATATAGGACCACCATAATAATAAAAAAGGATTATCAAATGTACTGTTGTGCAAACTTAGGCAAACAACCAAAAATATTAAGAACACATGCCTAGAAGATCTCATGGTTACATTGGTACATACACCAAACTAGCTCTTTGTGGTAGCTTCTGAAAAAACACTTATATACTGCTAATTATGAAAGTTTAGTTTTGATGTCATGACATCTTGTTTGAGAACCAATTTTGATTATTACGGATCACCTAGATTGGAACATAAGACAGAACAAAGTTTGCTGCCTAACTAGGTATAAAATCCAAAAAAAAAAAGGAACATCTTTCATGTGCACCTTCTAACTATGCAGGTTGTTGATCATTCCCTTCAAGCGCCTAGCTTTCTGTTCCTGCTGTTTGTCAATCTGCAAGGTTGCTACCTCTTTCTCAAGTGCAGTCTTTTCTCTACGCAGTTTCTTTGTTTCTACCTCCATTGCTTTTGTCAACGTATCAATTTTCCTTGAGAGCATCTGCATAAATTTCCTCTTTCAGTAATTTCTGATGCAGATTCAGGTAAAACAAGTTCAATAGAAAATAGTCTGCCAAAGAAATATAGCAAACCTCAAGAAGGGCATACCTCTGTAGAATTATCCTTGTCCTTCAAACATTGATCCTTCTCATGCAATGATTTCCTTAAAGTGAGTACCTCTTTCTGCAGAATATCATAAAATAAGACTGAAACATAATCATCCCTAACATCATCCATGGCATGTGATGGCTTGCCACTGCTGAGCTCCTCCATCAATGCACCAGTAGCAGAAAGCTGTTCGATATCCTTTTCCAAAGAATCATGGACATAAGTGTCTTCAGATGACTTTGATCTGTAATCATCTACATCAATCACCCTGCCTCCATCAAAAGATTTAGATGCTCCCTTGGCATGCTTTAGCAGTGTGCTGGAAGGACTAGAAATTGTTGAAGATTTCCCAATTGGAGCAAATGGTTTTCGTGATCCTGTTCCACCTGATAGGGAACCTGAAGAAGTCTCAGACCCATTAATTGAACGGCTTCGACCCAAACCGATTGGACTGCTTCGTATGTCATATCGAATCCCTGATCGAAGTGATGATCTTAGTCCATCCTCTACAACCTTCAATCGGAGCTGCAGCCTTTCCTGAAAATTAACACAGATATAAGAAAAATGTTACTCATCAATCATATACATATCCCTTCACGACAAAAGACACCAGAGTGACTTGGGATGGAAGCATACTTTAAGTTGAGCCTCAGCCTTGGCAGCACGTTCTGCTATGGACAGCTTGTCACGGAGTTGTTGCATCTCTCCCTAAAGGAAACCACTAAATAAAACTGATAATTTAACATGTCAAAGACCAAGCTAGTTCACATAATCAAGATTTGCTTAATACCATAAGGACACGTCGCTCCTCAAGCCACTGTTTGACTGGTATAACTTTGTCATTGGCATCCTTCCACTCATTTGCCATTACAAGAGCAGCTCGATTTTCTGCAACCATCGCACGAGATAAAGTCCTCTCAAGAGTTTTTTTCTCCCCCTGGAAATAGAAGAAACAGCATGACATCCTTAGGTTTAGTTCATTTTGTTTGCCAGGCAACGGAACCTTGAGTTCCTTTGATGTTAACAACATGAATGAGTTAATTTAAGAATGATAAATTGCATCCCAACCTTCAACTCATTAACTTGGCGCTGATAATCACGCACAGCATTTGCAGCTGCAGCCCCAGAAAGAAGAGCCTCTTCCAGTTCCCGAACAGTCTGCCCCAGCTTCTCAACCTCTGCAACCTTCTGACGGTGCATTCTATCCAATATCTTATACTCTTCCTGCCATGTCATGACTGTCAGGTTTTATAACGTGAAAGAATAAATTATAGATTTTCCCTCTTCATTTCCATAATTGAAAGAGAAGCGGGGCAGCAGAAAAAGAAGAAAGAAAGCATTCACCTGATTTATTTCATTCTGTTTCATGAGCTCCTGGTTCTTGTTCTGTAGGTCATCGACGAGAGCAGCCTTGATCTTGGCAATCTGGACCTCTCTTTCTGCATCTAACAGAGCTGCTTCCTTGGTTTTTGTAAGTCTCTCTAAGGCCCTACTATCATCCTGCAGCTTGGAGATCTAAAAATTTTCATAGTAAAAGTCACAAGCTAATTTGATACCGTAACAGAAAGGGGAGAACATTTTTCAAGATACAACTAATGCTCCATGCTGAAAAGCACACCTCTTGCCTCAGGAGCTTAATTTCAGCTTCGAGTGGGAAAAGTATATCCTCTAAAGTAGGTAGCTCTTCATCCTTCTGAGCAGCATGAACTCGTCGAAGAGTGGCTTCGGCAGCAAATTGTGCTGCTAATGCTTCTTTCTTCTCTTCTGTGATCCTTTTGATCTCTAAATTCTGGGGGTTGAAATTAGATAATTAGATGAAATCTACAACCTTTTTGGTCACATCATCTGGATTAGGATGAAAGCAAAAAAGGCAAGAAAATTGGGAGCTTATTAGTGAAATACTACATCGAGCAGACCTTGTTTTCAAGAGCAACTTCTGATGCCTGGAACTTCTCCACCATCTTCTGAAGCTCTTCAGAAACCTATTATTGATAGTAAGTAAAATAATTTAATTCTGCAGTCATTAGCAACATATGACAGATACTGCAATTTGCAGTCTGTGATACTACCTCAGTGAGAGCCTTGTCCTTTGCACGTTCCATCAGTCTTAGGCCTTTGATCTCACTATAAGTTTCGAATAGCGCACGATCCTTGTCTGTAATGGAAGAAGAAAAACATGTCTTCATTTTGAGCAGCACAAATAACTAAAATAAAATACAATCAAATGAACATAAAAGTTGAATCTTTGCTTGATCGTTATAGGACTGACATTTGTGCAGTGGTTTGTGAAAAGCCAGATCCTTCTTATCAGACATGAGAATACAATTCAAGGTGACCAACGCTATATTTTGGTGCAGAAGACTTAAAACTGGTTCAGCGGATCATGAGAGCAGTTTTCTTTCTTCTCCAGCAATACCAGTACAGGTGATGAAGGCTATAACTTTGGTCTTCATCCTCAGAATTCTATTTGTCTCTTCACACCAGCAATGGCACTAGATTTAGGCATTGCTTAAATATCATTGTCCTTTATCCTTGAAGGAATCCTTCTAAAACCGTTGCTCATGACATTTGATAATTTACTAGTAGAGTTTTGCATTAGCTAATCAAGCAAAAAAAGATAAAGAAAATCCAGTTTTATGAAGGCAAAGATGGCATTATGAATTGGTCTCTATTTTGTCAGACCTAATGCATGCAGCCAATATTCATATATATGAATGTGCCTTTTGTTTTCTTTTCGTAAGGAAAGGTGGAAGATTCACCCTCTTTTCATCTGTGGCATGGAGTAGTGGTAAGAAAGAAAAGAAGAGCATGAGTTGCAGAGAAAGAGGATGATGTCCTAGAAACAACAATCACACCTTTGACCATGTTGTGAAGGCGATTGAGTTCGATCTTGACGGGATCGGAACCATGCAACAGACTGAGGAAATCGTCTTCGTCAAGGCTGGATTTTTTGGAGGGCTTCTTCTTGGCCGCCGACCTCATCATCTCGGCCGGCAGACCCAACGCCATATGCGAAGGGGAGGAGTCCACGGCGTCCTCCGACGATCCACACGCCAACCCTGCCGCCACACCACAATCCTCGTCGCCGCCGGTCTCCCCCATGATTCGGAATTGGCGTGGTGGGCGATCCGGCCGGAATTGGAACGGATGACAGAATCAGAATAAGATAGAGGAGGAAGGACTACCAATTAACCGGCGCCAGCGAATGGATACTTCGATCTATTCTATGGCTATGCCGTAACCGACAAGAATGGGTTCGTCCCCCCTGAGACGCAGAAGAAGAAGCGGAGCAGCGGAAGGGAATCGAATTGATCGAAGAGAGTGGAAGTTTTGAGTGTATCTTTTTTTCTAATAATATAATTATATAATAATCCTAATAATATTTAATAATAATAATAAAGGTTTTACATATCTATCCTTCAAATTTCAGAAATAATATATTTGTCCTTTAAATAGTATTATATATTATAGAATTAAATATCTAAAATACTCTATTAATTTCATTAATTAGTTGATCTTTTACATTTTCTATGTTTTGAAGGGAAATTAGTGTCAAATTTAGTTTGAACATATCAGATGTTGGAGGGATGCACATATAATATAATTCTGCTCGATAACATATCAATTCCATCCCCAAAATAAAAAGAAAAAGATCACCATCTCCCACCGACGCCGCGTGTCATGGTTGGCTGGTCCATGCCGGTAGTTATTATTAATTATGTCATAATTCATTAATTTATTTATTACAGTAATCATTGCTACTCACTTTAAGTGAAGGTGGCCGAGGGACCCACCCATCGGGCCACGGAGTCAACGATGAGCTGTCTACGTACCGTCCGTATATCGACATCGCATCATCCGCCTCCAACGTGAGGCGGAGCGAACGGTGGTGATGTGGGAGGCACCAACAAAACTTTTCTTTTCCCTTTAATCTGAATTTATTATATAGTAAAGGTAAATAGATTTAAGAATTGATATATATTACGAGGAGAAGACGGGATCTGCAGCACGCATCACATCCTAATTAAATACACACAGAAGGGGGTGGAGATAATAATTGAGACAGGCAAGCAAGTGATGAATGCAAAGCGGCAGTACTTCTTCGCGCCAATGCATGCGTGGGCATCGTTGTCACTCCTCGCTGTCGATGCCTGCTTGCTTCAGCTCCGCTCAGCTGCAGGTGGGCTGGTGGTGTGGATTCCGACCCTCTTCTTCCCCACCGATCTCTCACCTCTGGCTTTTGAGCTGTACCCAAGCTGTGCCATTCATTATATTATTACTGCAGGCCATGGGAGAGAGGAAAGGCAAGCCCATCCATGAAACAAGGAATAGGTCGAGCAGGTGCATGCAACACACGGGGTCCCTCGTCTTCGTCCCCACAGTTTTAAGGGCAGGAGGAGACAGCGGTCGGTGAGAGGTCTCCTTCACCTAAATGTTAAAGTTCGATCCATCTCATCGAGTGATGAGGTCAACTTTTGATCGTCTATCCAACATAACATATGAGATTCGATTTCACCTCTTTTCTCTTTTCTAATATATGTGCCGCAAGTGCCTGATTATTGTTCATGTCGCAAACTCTTGGAAACATAACTTTTCTATTTCACCTTTGTTTTTTTTTTTTTCTCTCTTCTTGAATAACTCTATCGCAAAAGTTCTTGGGAACATCGGGGATTTCATAATACCACGAGCTCTTGGGAACTTCTCTTGTCTTCCGCTTCACCTTTTTCCTCTTCTTGAATATCTAAGTCGTAGTCTCTCAGCAACACCACTAGCAACACTAATATTATCTTTTTTTAATATAGATTTTATATATAAAATATATATATATATATATATATCCTCATGTTATACGATATCATGAATATGTACTTTATATTTTTATAATATTGATATAATGTTTATATTATATATGTGACCCACGAATATATACTTTTAATGCGAGAGCTGATCATAGCTTGTCAATACAAAAACTATTAACATAAAATTGTAAGTTATTATGCAGAATAAATTTAATATCATAATTTGAAATCAAATATTCATAAATCAAAGAATTGTTGTGCACACGTCACTAAAAATATCTTTATTTGATTTGTAGAACATATTTCCTAGTTTAACTCGTAAAACATAATAATATTGATCTATAAAGAAAACTAGACTAGTATTCTTCTCTTCTTATATTCTTTACAAGACCACTTAAATCTATAATCATATATCTTATTATGTTATCACATATATTGTATATTATTGAGTCTATAAGTAAGAGTAAATGATCTAAGATAAGTAATTAGAAGAGTCTCTCTCGTTAAATAGACTTTTTTTTATTAATCGATAAATATAATCAATATCTTATCTAATTAAATAAGATCACATAATTTAACATTCTCGATTTATTAATTAATAAGATATAAATAATATAAAAATAAAAATAAAATAAAATTTTATTAATTTTTTTTATCTAATTATATTTTAAAAAATTAAAAAAAATTATACATGACCATAATTTAAAATAAGCTAATAAATCTAATAAGTATAATAATATTCTATTAAGTTCGATTATTAATCCGAGTTAGTGGTTGCACACCATCAATGTAATACTTCCTTCTTTGTATCACAACATTGTTAGTCATTCATAATATATTTCATAATAATTTATATAATTTATATTATTAATAAAATTTTATTATCATATTCAACTATAATATGCATACACATAAATATAAATAAGATAATAAAAATAAATAATTTTAATTAAATAAAATAATAATAATATTTACTTAAAGATGCATCTAACATATATTTTAGAATACCACGAGCTCTTGAAAACATTCTTTTCCTCTTCACCTCTTTCCTCTTTTTAAATATTTGTGTCATAATCTCTCGAGAACACCCAAAAACATTAACATTTTTTTATTTAATATATATTCATAAAATAAAAAGAATTTATCGTTTGTTATAAGATCATTTAGTGTTTACAAAAATTTATTTTTATATTTTATAGTATTGGTATAGTGTTTATATGTGTAACTCCTTAGTGTATACTTCAGCACATGAGTGACAGTGATAGTTTGCCCATACAAAAAAAAAAAAAAAATTCTTCAACGCTAAAAGTCAAACAATGACCTTATTTCTCTTTTTTAAAATATTTGTGTCATAAATTTTCAAAAACAACAAAGGTTTTATCAGAGCTTTAGAAATGATTGAAACACCAGAAGGAGCATGAATGTCATCTTTTATCAAATACAGATTTACAAAATATAGAGGATATTGAGATTTATCGAAGAAAAAAAAGACTTTTATCTTTTTAATAAATTTAAATCATAATCAAGTATATTATTTAATAATTATATTTTTTTTTAGGATTGTCGGAGCATTTAATAAGGAAAACCACAAAGTATAGGTTTACCTTTGCCCTTTTTTTACTATTTAGACTTTAAAATTATGATCTTATCTTTGTTTTTTATTTTTTTAATTATAAATCTAGCCTTAGCCTTGTATTTATTATTTTTGTGTGTTACTCTCTATGGTATGTTGGGCTGACAATCTAAGAGTTCAGCCCATAGTGGACTTTAACAGCCCATAACCCACCTCCCTTTTAATCTAACCTTAAATCTAATAAGGGGTTGTGGTGGCTACAAATAATTGAGAGAAATGCTACAGCAATAAGGTAGAAAACTGTAGCAGAATTTAAAAAAGAGGAGAAAATAATAAAAAAAATAAGAGAAGAAAAAGGAAGACAATAAGGACAACGCAAATAATTTGATGATTAGCTTGAATAGAAATAATTGGATGATATGAAAATCAAGAATGGAAGATCTGTTATATTATAAAGATTTGTATAAACCTTTATAGAGGAATAGTACAAAGCTCATAACTATGACAGATGATGAGTGGAAGATGTTGGACCGAAAAACAGTCAGGTTTATTCGACAATGGCTCGATGATAGTGTCTTTCACCATGTTTCTATTGAAAGCTCTACATATTTTCTTTAGAAAAAGTTGAAAAGTCTTTATGAAAGAAAAACAACTTACAACAAAATTTCTTGATCAAAAAACTTGTAAACCTAAAATATAAAGAGGGTGCTTATATTGTTGAGTATTTGAATGAATTGCAGAGTATCACTAACCAGTTATCCTTTATGAAATATCTCTTGACGATGAGTTGTAGGTATTGTTACTTCTCAGTTCTTTGTCAGAAAGTTGGGAGATACTAGTGGTTTCCCTTAGTAATTCTGCGTCAGTGGTGTTGTCACCATGAGTCAAGTAACAAGCAATTTGTTGAATGAGGATTGAGAAAAAGAATTCAGCAACATCTCAGAATGATGCACAAGCACTTATCTCATAGAACAAAAGAATGTCAAAGTCCAAAGATAGAAATAGTTCACGCATATGTAGAAGTAAGTCAAGATCAAGAAAAAATATTGTTTGCTATAACTATGGTGAGAAAGGGCATTATAAGAACCAATGAAAGCACCCTAAGAAGAGTAAGAAAAAAAAAAAAGTAGAGTCTAAAGAGTCAAAAGAATACTACAACTACAATGCATGGTGGTGATTATTTGATTTTATCTCATTTTGATTATATATTTTTTATATTAGGATCTTGAGTGGGTGATTAACACAGGTGTTTCTTATCATGCTACATCACAGAGGGAGTTTTTTGCTACCTACAGGTTTGGAAATTTTAGGGTTGTAGGCAACTATGGCACGGTAGACACCATTGGCATGAGTGATATCCACATAAAGATCAACCTTGGCTGCAAGTTAGTTCTTAAAGATGTGAGGCATATGATTGACTTAAGGCTAAATTTAATTTCAATTGGAAGACTAGACTATGATAGCAGATTTCACAAAGGGCAATGAAAACTCAATAAGGGTTCTCTTGTTATAGCTAGTGGAAAGAAATGTCACACCTTATATAGGTTGCAGGTCAAAGCTTATGTGAGCAAATGCTATAAAGAAAGACTTTATGATGGAGTTGTGATATAGGCGATTGGGATATATGAGCGAGAAGGGGCTGCAAGCTCTTTCCAAGGTATTATTAGACCTTAAAAGTATATATTTGAACCATTGTATTTATTGTTTGGCTGGTAAACAACATATAGTTTCATTTGCTAGTTTTGCTTTGTCTAGAAAAATGCATGTCTTAGACCATGTTTATACAGATGTATGTGGTCCTTTAAGGATAAAAACTCATGATGGATCTGTTAATGTTCCTAGTATCAGTAGTGCGCTTTATTTTGGTAATTTTATAAATGATTTTTTAGGAAAGTTTGGACCTATGCTATAAAAATCAAAGATCAGGTTATTACTGTCT